AATATATATATATATATATATATATATATATATATATACAGTATATATGCATATATAAAGACTTATACGTTTATATATATAGCAAGTGTTTATATATGTAATAAGTATAGATTTGTGACTTTTTAACTTTTTATTACTTTATTAATAATACATTTATTAATTATACTTTTTTATTTTTATTAATAATACGTTTTAGTAAGTTATATGTTATTATTATTATTATTATTATATTATTATTTACATGTACAAAGTTATTATGTACTATTGTAGACTTATGATTTAAGATTATTGAATTTCTAAAATAATGATTTTATTTTAAAAATTAATACACTTTAATAAATTATTAGATGATTATTATTATTTAATAAATATGTTTTTAAACATATATGCATTTACTTGCATTTACCACAGGTTTCAAAACAAAACAAAACATTGAAGACTGGAGTAATGATGCTGAAAGTTTGGCTTTGATTACAGCAATAAATTACATTTGACAATATATCCAAAAGAAGACCGTTATATTGTAATAATATTTTACAACATTACTGTTTTTATTGTATTTTTAATAAGATAAATGCAGCCTTGGTGGGCAGTAGAAGCTTTAATTTTATTTATTGTTATGTTGTCTTGTGTGTTTTATGTTAGGTTATGTTATGTTATGTTATGTTATGTTATGTTATGTTATGTTATGTTATGTTATGTTATGTTATGTTAGGGTAGGTCAGGTCAGGTCAGGTCAGGTCAGGTCAGGTCATGTCATGTCAGGTGTTATCCCCTTTCTTTACTTTATGGTAAGTCAATAAACTCCTACTCTAATCTTCTGTGTTTTGTTTGTCCCTGAGTAGCAGGTGACTCCTATTTGCAAGCTGCTTAACTAACTTTTTTTTATTAAGAAAGGAATTTGAATGAGATTTTAATCACTAGTGCGCTGAGACCATGAAAAATATCCTGCTGCTTTTGTTTGCAATTGCTTCTTTATGTGAGCCATTTAAGATGTGTTGTTAATTGAAACGAAGAAAGATGCCATTGATTTGTTGTGCGCTTGTGAAGCCGACAGCAGATGAATACAGAAGAGAGCGGAAGAACTGCTCATCTTTCAGGAGTATTTCGCTTGTTCTCCAGATCTTGGCTTGTCGTTAAAGCTCCCGGCGAGAACAATAGCGGCCTGTTAATTACGCCATTGGAAAAATAGAGAAGATAATGAGACGGTTATGTCATAAATGTATATGATTCATATTAAAACCAATCACATCGTCTCAAGCAGTAGTGGGTTGTTTACATGCGCCCATCTGTTGAAAAGCAACCAGAGCTTTGCTAATGACGCTGCTGCTGGTAACAACCATATGCTCGAGGAACGGCTGTTCCCATTCATCTGTGAGAGTCTCCCAGCTTGTCTGCAGCTTGTCTGAGCATGTATATTGTTCTAGCATACATACTAGGGGTGTAAGAAAATATCGATACACGTGAGTATCGCGATATTTTGTTTGGCGATACTGTATCGATTCTCAAAAACGCAATATCGATATTTTAAAAAAAAATGTATACAAGATTCATGGCCATTGTTTTGTTTTGAGTTTATATCCCGACCGCTAGATAGCACTCTTCTTACCTCTGAACTTAAACAGTGACAATGTGTGTGTCCTGCTCCTGCAAGGTTTGTCCAGTCCCGCCCGCTCCCGCAAACATTCTAATATTACATATAATTTTCGCGTATCAGGGAGCCGCTATCAATGGGGAGTATTTAAATCTCTTTTGAATGAGCGCTCGCGCTGTTCACTTTCACTTTCGATTTCGCGATCGCGCGCACTCTGTGTAAAGGGAGCGCATCTTACGATATAAGATATTTGTCAATGAGCTCCGGATCCTCTCCTCATTGCAAGACACATGAAAGCCCGCATGGAGTTTGCTAAAAAAACACCTGAAGGACTCCAAGATGGTGAGAAATAAGATTCTCTGGTCTGATGAGACCAAGATAGAACTTTTTGGCCTTAATTCTAAGCGGTATGTGTGGAGAAAACCAGGCACTGCTCATCACCTGTTCAATACAGTCCCAACAGTGAAGCATGGTGGTGGCAGCATCATGCTGTGGGGTTGTTTTTCAGCTGCAGGGACAGGACGACTGGTTGCGATCGAGGGAAAGATGAATGTGGCCAAGTACAGGGATATCCTGGACTAAAACCTTCTCCAGAGTGCTCAGGACCTCAGACTGGGCCGAAGGTTTACCTTCCAACAAGACAATGACCCTAAGCACACAGCTAAAATAACGAAGGAGTGGCTTCACAACAACTCTGTGACTGTTCTTGAATGGCCCAGCCAGAGCCCTGACTTAAACCCAATTGAGCATCTCTGGATAGACCTAAAAATGGCTGTCCACCAATGTTTACCATCCAACCTGACAGAACTGGAGTGGATCTGCAAGAGGGAATGGCAGAGGATCCCCAAATCCATGTGTGAAAAACTTGTTGCATCTTTCCCAATAAGACTCATGGCTGTATTAGATCAAAAGGGTGCTTCTACTAAATACTGAGCAAAGGGTCTGAATACTGTGACCATGTGATATTTCAGTTTTTCTTTTTTAATAAATCTGCAAAAATGTCAACAATTCTGTGTTTTTCTGTCAATATGGGGTGCTGTGTGTACATTAATGAGGAAAAAAATTAACTTAAATGATTTTAGCAAATGGCTGCAATATAACAAAGAGTGAAAAATTTAAGGGGGTCTGAATACTTTCCGTACCCACTGTATATACTGCGTACTGTACTAAATTCTAGGGGTGTAAGAAAATATTGATATACGTGAGTATCGAAATATTTTGTTTGGCGATGCTGTATTGATTCTCAAAAACGCAATATCGATATTTAAAAAAAATTTATACAAGATTCACGGCCGTTGTTTCGTTTTGAGTTTATATCCCGACCGCTAGATAGCACTCTTCTTACCTCTGAACTTAAACAGTGACAACGTGTGCATTCCGCTCCTGCAAGGTTTGTCCAGTCCCGCCCGCTCCCGCAAACATTCTAATATTACATATAATTTTCGCGTATCAGGGAGCCGCTATCAATGGGGAGTATTTAAATCTCTTTTGAATGAGCGCTCGCGCTGTTCACTTTCACTTTCGATTTCGCGATCGCGCGCACTCTGTGTAAAGGGAGCGCATCTTACGATATAAGATATTTGTCAATGAGCTCCGGATCTGTTGAGTAGCAAATCCACCACCATGGTCTTGTAGGTCATCCCTCCTCTCGACCCATGATCAGTCAAATCTGACTCCTGCAAGCACTTATTTATTCCCCCTTTACTCGTACTGCACAAAAAGTGGTTCAATAGCGTTGAATGTTACAGGGACAGATTAAAAGGGTCATATGATGTTACTAAGAAATAACATTATTTTGTGCATTTGGTGTAATGCAATGTG